AGGATGAGCTGCTACACACCTGACACCACATTCAACACAGACAAGCTGCAAATCTAACACAATAATTTAGACCAAAGAAAAAGGTTCACAATTTGCAGTTAACATGAAGATGTTCTAGAGTAGAAACAACACACAGCACACAAGTTTCATGTAGAGATGATTGTTTATTCTGAATGTTATTTTCATTCAGTTATTTCCCATTATTTTGAGCAATTTTCTGGTTTATCCAGTTCATGTAAGGACAGACATTCACAGTAACAGCTGGTCTGGTACAGGCATGTACACCACCGCCCTTGATTACACCATAAATCATGTTGTTGTAAATCACTCCACCACCAGAATCACCCTGAGAGAGAAAAATATAGTTTGTGTTTAAGTTTCTTCCAAAAGATCTAAAACATACACAGATGATATACAGGAATGTTAGCAGTCAACTTACCCCACGTGTATCTACATTAGGTTCTTTCAGACACAGCCTGTTGTTATATGGCACATTTGAATTACATTTAGATTTTCTGGTAGGCTCACAGTCAACAACATGCATGTTTGCACACTTTAGATGAGGTGGTTGGCCAGGGACTAGAGAAAAAAAAAAAGAAAAGAACAAAAGTTATTCATAACCTTTCAAAAACTAAAATCTTAAGGAAAATGATCTTTTCCTTTATTTCTACAAACAATTCAAATATTTTTCAAGCAAAATGTTTTCTTAAAAAAAAACTGCATCTAAAAAGGTGGGAACCTGCCATATAATATATACACTGTAAAAAAAACAAAAAAAACAACAACTTTTTTATATACAAATTAAATATAACTATAATAACACACAAACCAAAATGAGATTTTAAAATAAACTGAACTAATCAAGAAAAATTATTCTTACTGTCATTGTTGTTCTTATCTACCTGGTAATTCCCAAAGCCTGCCACCTGAACAACGTCATCTCTAGAAACAGAAAAAAAGGTCATAAATTAATTCAACATCCACCCGTGTCTTGTGAACACAGAATAAAATAATAAATCATAATGATGTACACTGCATGCTGGGTATTTCCAGTCCAGCTACAGCTACTAACTCTGAGTAACTGAGGGTTCAGATTTCACACATCACTGTTTGCCACACGTGTTTCATTGTCATTCACTGTGTGTCATGGATGTAACTCCTAAAATCAAAACAAGGAATCTTAACTCTTGATCCAGGTTCAGTTATATTATCGTTGATGTCAGTCAGGTGGAGATGCAGGTATAATGTCAGTCATGGGTTTGAAACTTCACAAGTATGATGTCATCCTGTTGATGGACTACTGCCCTGACCTGCATGATAACCATCTTCTCCTGCTGCATTAACTTGTTTGAACCTTTCTAAGTCCCGTTCTGAAAACCGTCCCATGTTAACATTTTTTGTTTCACTGAGCCTCGTGTTATCAGTTAGAGCAACAAACACTGTAAGTGGCTTTCATGGTTTCATTTATAATATTATATCAAACGATATTTTCTTATTACCCTGCTTATTAGTTGTGGGTAATAGATTCCATGACCTCCCTACAAGATGATCTTATATACAATCTCAAAGCTTATTCACTGTTTTTTAAATTCATATTTGTTAAAGGACACCTCTATGAAGACAGATTAGAAGTTCAATATGTTGTATGATTTTCACTTTAGTCAAGCAGCCTTAACAGGAATCACATTTCTTTCAGTAATGACTGATTTACCCATTACTCTCATAATACACTGTGTGACAGGCAGATCCAATATCCAGGACTAAACTCAAAAGCAGCTTTAAATATAGAGTACTTGGCGATACTAGCTCAGCTATTGCAACAGACAAACAGGACAAAGCCAGAAAGACATCCAGAAAAACAAAAGTATGAAACAAAGGACTTAAATGCACACAAAGTAATCAGGCAGATGGGACACATGAGGTAACACAGGTGAACTAAATCAGGCAAACAACAGGGGGAGCAAAACTGAACACAACACACACTGAGACTACCAAAATAAGAAGGGAAACAGAGCCAGAGGTTAAACTCCAGACATACAAACTTGGGAAGGACAAAAACCTGCTGCCTGTTACAAACAGACTACAGAGTACAGAGTTATTCTTTAGAGGGAATGAA